TATGAAATAAAAAGAGCGGAGAGGCAGAGAGCTTTGGGGGCTGCTTGGCAAGAATCTGACATGGGTCAAGGACAAAGAAATGGACTTCAGGCAGGAATCTGACATTAGACTAGAACAAAGAAGTAATTTCAGGCAGGAATCTAAATCTTAGGCTAGAACAAAGAAGTAATTTCAGACAGGAATCTAAATCTTAGGCTAGAACTAAGAAGTAATCTCAGGCAGGAATCTAAATTTTAGGCTAGAACAAGGAAGTAGTCTTCAGACATGAAAATGACTTTGAGATAGGACAGGGAAGTAGGCTCAGGTATTTTGGTCATCCTGATAAGCCCTTAGAAACAATGATCAAGGGAGTGTTCATGGAACTTTGTTTATTGCCTTGCTTGTTCTTTGACTATTTGCATCTATTGTATTGCTACTTCCTCAACCTAGAACTGACCTTAATACATGCATTCAATTAAAATGGTATAAAAGCAAAAAGGAAGAGGGGTATGGTATAGGAGTTTTCTAGGGAGGGGAAATGGTGAAAGGGAATGGCATCTGAAATGTAAATAAATAAAATATCCAATAAACAAAAAAGTAAAATGAGGAGGGTTTTTTTTTTCTAGTTTTATTTTTATTTGAGAACAGGTCTCACTCTGAATCCCAAGATGACTGAAACTCAGGTCAACTGTTCTGCCCTAACTTCCCAAGTCCTGGTATTACAAGCATGAGATACCCAACAAATAACGCTTTCTTGACCCTAAAACACTACTGTACTTTAGTTGTTTGATGTGATTTCCAAGATGGCTACCAAGTGACTGCAGCCTAGGAGACAAAGTATGGGTAGACACTCCACCATATACTAAACAAAGTCATCTCTTATGATGGATAAGATGGACTAAATCCAGATGGCACAATTATCATGTTACTAAGAAAGATGTGACAACACTCACAAACTGTTCCTTTCTGGAATGTCCTATGTAATATTTGGGGTCATCATTGACCACAAGAAACTCTTAACTAGTAAAACTCAATATCCACAGTAGAAAGTAAAATCATGTTTGGTTACTACTCTCACCTCTAAAACCTTTCAGCTCTTCAACTTGTGTCTCAACAGGGCTCTTCTTTTCAAAAACACACCACCCTAGCATTTCCAACCAAGGAAACTAGTAAGCAATTACAATTTTCATATGTCACAAACTAAATCAGCTAACTTTCATCTACAGATGACAGATGTCAGATAACATACATATATGTGGATACATATTATCTGACATCCATGAATATTCATAAGGAAAATTATTTAGATGAATTCAAAATGCCATTCTTCATTTGAGCAGAGATTAAGACCACCAAGATGACTGCACATCATTACAGAAAACAATTCTACTGGCCATGGCTGAGTCAATCAGCAGGGAGCTAGTTAAGGCATAACTAGTTAGTTGTTTACAGTCATATCATTACTTGGCTACAAGGCTCAGTTACTATGATTACTTTCTGTATTAGGTTGCTCTAGCAGAATAAGTGACAGAACACAGTTCAAATGAGTGAGTGAGTGTGTGTGTGTGTGTGTGTGTGTGTGTGTATAACATACAAACTTTAATCTAGCCTGGTATCCTAATACACATAAAAACATCATTTGCAAGAGGGTGAGGTTGGAAGATCCAGAGCTCAATGCTGGCTTCCATTTTGTAGGACTCATCTCAAAACAAACCAACTCATGGAGAAAACAAACACATAAACGTTTAATCTCAAAGTAAAAAAATCAAACCTGTTGGAATTCTGTGGCTTTGAAGTCTAAACCCAGCAGCATTTTTCAAAGTCAAAAGTCAAGTCTACAAGATGTACAACAAATGGCCAATGGATGCCTATACACAATACTAAGAAGAGCGAATAAGGTGGTGAAGGATTGAGGAGGTGAACCAGAAACCGGGGTAAACCCCTAAGGAGGTGTGATGACTGGAACAGGACCCCTTCACTTCAGGGCCAGGGTCTCTTCAGCAAGTGTCCATGAGATCACCTCTCCCAGGTGTCTCACCACACTATGCTAAATGTGAGTTAAGTGTATGAAAACACTGGAGAAAAATGTAAGCCTTTTTTATTTACACGTTTTATTTACATATGTAATATTACAATTATTTAGAATGTTTCAAAGCAACAGTAGCCAGAGGCCACAAAATTTTTTTTCCTAAAATAATGTTATTCCCCCTCTCCCTCGAGGGTGCTGACATCTTATGCTACAATATAATAATGTCTGTGATTAGGCACTTCATGAAGAAAAGAGGCAAGTTTAGCTCCAGCTGAAGAGACTAAAAGCCCAAGGTCAGGCAGCCCTCTATGTTCACCAGGTCAGAGCTTGCTAGCTGCACCACACAGTACAGGGAACAAAGTGGGGGATGGTAAGAAATGGAGCTGAAGGCAAGTGGAGAAAGCCAGGCTCACTTTACAACAGTATTCTGTACCCATAACCAACCCACTCCTGTTAATCCCCCTTAATGACCTTGTCACACCTCTTAAAGGCACCACACCTCCAATTCCGTTATGTGGGGGAGGGGAGCAAAGTTTCCAACCTAGGAATCGCCATGAGAAAAACCATATCGTAACTATAACACTCATTCAACACCCATATGTCACAATGTAGATTATGTCTTACCTTAGTTAGGAGACATTCAAATCGATTAACACAGTGAACCGGCACCTCAAACCTCAGGTTTTACTAATTGGCCTCCTTCCCCAACCCCCGTGGTAAAATATGTAGCTGCATTGATTTGTCCTTCAAGTAACCTGTTACAACAGAGTAAACCTTGGAAAATTACAGACAACAGACTTCTTTTGAACAACAATATCCACGGATAAGAACTAAAGTAGGCCTCAGCAGCTATTAGGCTATTGAGTCATGATATAATTAGCTCTACAGTAAGGAATCTACCTTCAAAACCAACAATTATATCATAATAGGATTGCACCCTGCCACCTCCTAAATACTCTCATTTTCCCACAATTTAAACCTTTTTGAATGTCTCTTATTTTTTTTTTAAAGAAAAAAGCAAACACTAATTCTGAATACCCAATAGACATAACAAGCACTTGGAACAGACAAGTGCAAGAAGACAAGCCGTTAGGAGCTTTGTTTCTTTTTATTGCAGTTTATTTACAGGTGCATTTTTCCAGATGTCTTCCCTGAAGCTTGAAAGGTAAGTACAAAGGTTCTTTAAAATATTTTCCTCTGTGCGATGTGGCGGTATATGCCTGTAACCTCAGTTTTGGGAGGCAGAAGCAGGAGGGCACCCTCAACTATAAATGAAGTTCCAGACCAGCCTGGGCTAAAGGAGTCCCCTGCTAAATAAATATATAAATAAATAAATAAATAAATAAATAAATAAATAAATAACTCATCGAGCAATTAACTATATGTATACTCTCAAGGAACTCATTCGTTTAGCCCTCAAGTTCTCAAACATACAACCCCGGAGTATTCTAGGCTTGCCACTAGAAAGCTCTTTGTACTTCTTCATCATAGAGCTCTCTGGCTTCACCTATTTTGTTCAAAAGAACTGATTCTTGAGCATCTGGGAGACTGCATTTTGTGTAAATGTGTTACACAAACACACAATAGAATTCTCTGCTATTTTCTTAAGTGTCTAATTCAGTCTTGGGTGAAAGCTGGTTCATCATTAACTTACATAAATCCACAGATCTTGTCTCCAGGCCTTGTTTTACATTCATCCTATCAACACATACGGTAAAAATATATGGAAGGAGACACATTAGTATCTACAGAGGAACTCCCCCCCCCACCCAAGAAAAAGTGGAGCTCCACAGAGATAGATGCAACTGCATGGAAACGATCGAAATTAAGAGAAAAAAGAGTGAATTCACACACTGCATGTTTCCTCTACGTAAGTATTACACTAAATATCTGTTAGATTAGTCATGTTGCCTTGAGACTCTTCCATGTTTCCTCTAGACAACTGCCAATGCTCGCATGGCCTCTGATGAATAAACATGCTGTGACTTGCTCCTAAGGAAACGCCTGTCATGTTCCAGGGAAAAATGACTTCTTCACTCTTAAACCAGAAAAAAAAAGCTGAACGACTCTCATTCATTGCTTACAAAGTCGCCCGTTCCTTAACGTTCCTATTTCCGGAATGTTCATTCTCTGTTTAGGGCATTTCTAGGTTCTGATTAACAAAGAAAAAAGAGAAATTGGGGGTACCATATGGTCAAAAGGCTACATGACACCAATGGGGTGTTCTCAACTAGGACAGGGTTGTGTAGCTTGACCACTATGACAAAGGTTATTCTCAAGTACTCCTCGGCCCTTGCAGGACTACCTGTTCCCACCACTGTTTACCCAAACGTTTAACAGTGATTTTTAGTATATTTGGCAGCAAGGCATGCTTCATTTAATATTAACTCACCATGTGACAGCCCCTTCCCTTCCAATCGCTCCTCAAACACGTGACGGTAAAAAGTCTAGGTGTTTGCCAATGGGACTAACTTCGCGCTCGGCTTTGGCATCACCAATTGGCCAGAGGCATATACACACACACCCCCAGTCAGAGGCGAGGAACCCGTCTGCTCCCGGAACTGTCAAGCAGGGCTGACAGCTGGCACACCTTGCTGCGCCCTCCGCGGACTTTCAGGAAGCCCCTTCCTTGCAGTCACCTTGACAGAAGCCATCCGCCTGGGCCGGAGAGCTTGGCAGTGGAAACTTTTCCTTCCTTTCCCGGAGCGCACTTACAGGTGTCGTCCCCCGCCGCTCCAGAGCCCCAACAAGGGGCCCTTTGTTACCACTTTTGCTCCGGGAATCCTCACCCTGCCATTCGCCTGGCCTTCCGCAACCCCGATCGGAAAGCTTGCCCAAACCATCGAACCCCCACCCCGGTTCGCCCGGGAAGACACAGTCACCCGCCCGCATGTGGGTCGGCCCGGGAGCCCGGCGGCCCCGCGGGGAGCTCGCCGCGGGCAGGTGAAACCCGTGAGGACTCGGAGGCCGGGAGAGCGGCTACCCTACTTACCCTGCGGAGCCCGCGGGCTGCGTGGCGGGGGTGCGAGGCGCGCTGCGGGGTACGGGATCCGGAACGCTGCGGTCCATCGCGCTGCTGGCCGCGGCGCGGGCTCGGGCTCGGAGGCGGCGCGTCACTGCTGGGGTGGGAGAGGCCGGCGGGTCAGGGCGGGAGCGAGCCGGCCAAGAGCCCGCCTCGACCCACGGCAGCCGGGGGCGGCCCCGCCTCCCCGGGGCGCTTCCACCTGCGGGTCGGTCCCTGCCCGAGGGCGCCGCGACGACGGCCACAGGTCCCCGCCCCGGCCGCAACCCGCAGCCAGTCGGCGGCGAAGGGGCGGCGCGCGGCGGCCCGAGGCTGCGAAGGAGGAGGAGGAGCGGACCGGGCGCGGGACGCTCGCCACGCCCGCACTGCTTGGGCTCCAGCGGCCCGCTGCGCACTAACTGAATCCCGTGCAAACTTTTCCGGAGGAGCTACGGACCAGAGCGCCCCCCGTTTTCCCAAGCCGCTGCCCTGCTTTAGGGGACCCGTCCCCTCCAGGCTCCGCTCACTCCGCCCGGAGTTCCGCTCCTCCCCTGCTCGGCTGGCTAGGACGCCCGGAGCGAGCGAGCGGCGGAAGGCGGTCGTCCCCCTGCCGCCGCGCCCGCGCCCCAACTCACCCTGCCCCATGGCCCTGCCGGGAGCCCCGAGCTCGCAACCGCCTCCGCCACCTCGCCCTGCAGAAGTGAGGGTGACGAGGTCCGCATCGGAGCGATCAGGGCAGCCAGGCGGAGAGGGGACGGGTAGGGCGAGCGGGCGGGGACGTGGAGCGAGGAGGAATTTCCTTCCCCACCCCGCACCCTTCCCCGGGACACGGGGCTTTAGGGTACCGCGGGGGAGGCCGGTGGAGAGGAAGCGTCTGGCTGCTCGTTTTCGTCCCCCACGGCCAACGCGTAGCTTTGGGAAGCCCCACGAACCCAAGAGGGACAGTGGGCGGACAGGGAGGATACCTGGCCAGCAAAACTCCAGGGAGGACCCAAGCTGTAGCGGAAGCGAGGAGAGCTCGTGGACTGAGTCCTGCTGATTGACCACCTGCAGTCTGACCTTCCAAGTGTAGGATTTTCTTTTTAACCTTAGTGACCCCTGCGGTTGCTAGCCTGTAAATGGCACCTCTGACATTGTGATCTTTCTAATCCCTGGCAGGTTGAAGCCCGTCCTGTCTTCGCAGGCATGCTTCTCTTGATGTAAACATCCAACAGCTGTGATTTGAGGACTGGACGTTCTCATGATGACAGCCTATAAGCTAAGAAAGAACAGCAGAGATTTAGTGGCCTCCTGGAACTTTCACGGGAATAAAGGAATCTCAGACAGTGCTCGCTTGTTTGTAGTTTCGGTTCCTGCAAATGTTCTTCTCAGAGGAGGTTCCCACCTGACAACCAGGTGTATTTGCATATCCTCTCCTCCTTCTTAGAAGCTTGCCAACTATCTTAAATTGATGAGTCCAAAAGCTTACATCAAGAAATAATGGTAACTAAAAATATATAAATGGATATCTCAAGTGACAAACAAAACATAAAAACATGATGTAGGATAACAAAGGACTTACATTTTTGGTACACATTAAAATTAAACTGGTATTTATAACCTGTGCTTAATTAAAGGTTCTTCAGTTGCTCATTCATTGCAACCACCACCAATGATTTCTGGAATTAAAAGTACTAACTACTACTCCATATAATTAGATTTTGTCTCTACTCTCCCTCATGGTGCAGAATATGGTCTCAGTACATATTTGAATATGAAATGAGATCTCCTGGTGGCTTCTGCGATTACTGTATTAGAACCATATCATTAAAAGTTGCTCTTAAATAATTTGACTAATAATGAGGCAATTGTTTGAAATGGATCTGGATTTTAGACTTTAAATAATAACACAGGTTTGACAAGTTCATGAATCCTTTCTGACTGTAAATGGATAGATTTCCAGCTGTTGCATAGACAGGCTGTAAATAGTGAGTAACATTGAAACTACTTAAAGTTTATAACTTTGAATCACAGGATCAAGCACTTAATTAGTTTCAACCTTGATTTATGGGACACTAGTAATAGTATGGATCCCAGTTAGGCTGATCTTAAACATTAAGACATTTTTACAACATTTCGTAACTGCTAAGAGCAATTTTCATGACACCAGTTTTCCCTTACATCCTTTTGTTCTTGGGCACAGGGCAGGGTCATACTTTCCATGCACTGAAATTGAGCCTATCCAAATGGCTTGCTTAACCAGCAAGATGTTTCATTTCCTGGTAGAATCACATCAAGGAGAGTGCTGAGCCTCCACAGTGTAACCCGCTATTGTCATGTTTTGAGATGGAGGTGGCACAAAGTTGAACTATCCTAAATATGTTACACTATTACCCTGAGCACAGCTCCTTGGAGAGGCTTGGGGTTTACAACAGAATCCCCCAAACCACTAATTATCTATTTTGAGATTAAGTCAACAAACTATGTTCAGCATCTTTCAGAACCAAGACTACACTTCATGTTCTTATGCATTACTGTCGGTGCTACAGTGTTGTAACTTCATAATTTATCAGCAAAACGACGATCAGAGTTGCTAGGCTTTTTTTACATAATGGTGGAAAACGGCCCTTTCCCAGTTCCTCTGAAAAGTTGTTCAAGTCAGTCCAGATGTTGCTCAATTTCCCTGTTTGGAAATCTCCCCCTCCTACTCCATCCAGTCATAGTTGATGAAGATATTATCACAGGTGTTATCACTTTGGGAAGGCCTTGCAGACAGCACAGATAGAAATAGCCCTTTCTCTCTTCAACTGAGTAGATTGTTAGATGGACAACGACTGCCACACCTGTTCCAGTTAGCTTTTCATTGCTGTGATCAAAACGCCTGACAACAGCAGGTGGGTGGGACTTATTTCAGCTCACAGTTTCAGGGATTTAGAGGTGTCCATTCATCATGGCAGGGGTGGTGTAATGGGAAGCAGCAGTCCATGCTATGACGGCCAGCAAAATGAGAAAGGTATGTGCTGGCACTGGACTGGCTTCCTCCTTTCTCCCACTTTTATTTCCTATGAGCCCTTAGCCCAAGAGAAGGTGCTGCTCACAACTGGAGTGGTTTTTCCACACCAGTTAATCTTACTAGAACTGTCTTTGTCCACAGGTCCATGGGTGTGCTTTACTAATCTAGGTGAAGCTCTAAGTTCAGGAAAATGGACAGTGACAATTGACTGTTACACAGACTTGTAGGTTTTGGACAGAGGAGGCGTTGTGCTCACTCTCGTGAATTCACTCTTCTGAATATAGCTCAGAGCACAGAAGGCAGTCTGCAAATATTTGTGGAGTAGGGAAATGAAAGAAATCTTAAAGATTTCACTTAAGAGATTTGTCATATGACGAAACTTTTCCTGGGGATATGCAACACACATCTACTCGCCTCAATTAGGGAACCCACAACAGACCCACGTACAGATACCTCTGAAGTCTGATTTGGTGAACGATTGAGTTTTATTAGGATTTCTTACAGGAACAGAAATGACTCAAAACACCTGTATCACCAAAGCCCACCCCAAGCCTGGTGATACTTCTTAAAGCTAGGAACATGGAACACATTGCCCAGCCTATAAGCAGTTCCACAAGTTAGGAGGCGTCCTTTCTACATTTGGTCTAAACCTCTTCCAGACAGTTTGGCTCGTGTTTCTGTTTGGCAACCCACCTAGTCTCAAGAGTCTTTTTTGCAGGTTTTCTCCTTGTGAGAACCTTCCTTGAAGCTTAGTTTGAGTCTTTTTGGGAGACATGGCCTTACTTAATCTTGAGAGAAATTCTCTGCTTTTATTGATTACTCTAACAGGGAAGGACCTAGTGAGTCTGATCAGTTTCAGGAACTTCCTGAAGCTATCTTGAGTTGTTTACTTTCCTGCCTAAGGAGTTGTCCTACAGGATGGAATGTTTGAATATAGGAGGCACCTGTTAAACAACGTTCTTTTAAAAGAAAGAAGTCTAAGAAGGACTTTTTATATTAAAGGCCCTGGCAGATGACTGAAAACATCAGATGGGAGGTGAGCTGGCCTTATAACATGGAAACATTGGTTCTTCTCACTTGGGAGGTGGAGGCAGAAAGCACATAAGGCTGATCCTTAGCTACATACTGAGTTTAAAGCCAATCTGAGCTACATAAGACTCAAAGTAAATGTCAATTTTTCTATGCATATCTTTGAGTGATAACTTAGTGATCAGTCAGGGTTTTCTAGTGGAACAGAACTTACAGAACACACACACACAAAAGGAATTTATTACAATATATAACACTCTACAGTTCAGCCAGTCCAACAATGGCTGTATACAAATGGAAGGTCCAAGAATGTTATTCAGTCCATGAGTCTGGATATCTCAGCTAATCTTCAGTATATGCCAGAATCTCAAAGTAGGCTCTAATACCAGTGAAGGAATGGGCTAGCCAACAAGAATGGGGGCAAACAGGCAAAGAGGGAGACCTTTCTTCCATGTCATTTATATTAACTGCCACCAGAAGGTAGAGGCCAGATTAAAGGTGGATCTTCCTACCTCAAAAGATCTGGATTAAAGTGGGTCATCCCACTTCAAATGATTTATTTAAGGAAAAAAAATCCCTCACAGGTGTATTCAGCTGCTTAGGTTTTAGTACATGACAAACAAGAATAGCTTTGGCCTCCTGGTTATGGCTTTAGAGTTTAAGATAGAAGAAAGGGGTTCTGAAATATCCCTCTGCAACTAAGGAAAGCCACCAAGGCTAGGCATGTGTCAGGGATGGATGTCGCTCCAGAGAAGCCTTTATGTGATGCTATGAAGGTGAAGCCTGGATTGCCTTGGAGACCCCAAGATACTGAAAATATAAGAACTGTGGGAAAACAAAGGAGAGCTATTAACAGGGAGTGGAAACAGCCCAACAGAAAGAAGTATGTTTCATTCAACAAAGCTGAAAAAAGTTGGAGATCCAAAGATCTGACATTAGACATAGAGATACAGAGTTTAGAGTTTGCCCTGCTGGTTTTCCGTCTTGTTTTGGTCCAGTATTTTCTCAGTATGATCACTTTTTTTCCCTTTTGGAACTACAATATATATCCTGTGCCATTATATGTTGGAAGTATGTGATCTGCTTTTTACTTTTGATTTTAGAAGAGGTTAGAGTTAAGAGATTACCATGAATCTCAGACGAGTTTATTGGACTTTAAACTCTTAAATAGGGTTTATAGTGTTATAAACTATGGGGACTTTTGAAGATGAACTGAATGTATTTCTGTATTATGTTATGGACACAAACCTATGGGGGCCAAAAAGTGGAATATGATGATTTGAATGAAAATGTTCCCCATAGATTTATAGACAGTGGCATTATTGGAGGTATGGCCTTGTTAGAGTGGGTGTGGCCTTTATGGAGGAAGTGTGTCACTTGAGGTAGACTTTGAGGTTTTAGAAGCTCAAGCTAGCCACAGTGTCTCTCTCTCTTTCTGCTACCTGCCACTTTAAATGTAGAACTCCCAGCTACCTGTCCATCATCGTGTCTGCCTGTGTATTTCCTTCCATGACGACAGTGGACCAAACCTCTAAACTGTAAAGTTGCCTCAATTAAATGCTTACCTTTATCAGAGTTGCTGTGGCTGTCTTGTCTCTTCACAGCACTAGAAACCCTATAGAAAAAGAAGCAGGAAAAAAAGTAGGCCAGGTGAACATTTTTGGAAAAATAAATTAGGGATTTTCTAAGTTCTTTGTAAAATTTTTGGAACAATAAGTGTGGAGATGTGAAGTAAGAATGGCCCCCATAAGCTCATATATTTAAACGCTAAGTCACCATGGAGTGGTGTTATTTGAAAGGATTAGATGAATTAGGTGATGTGGCCTTGTTGGAAGAAGTATGCCACTAGGAGGGGGAACCTTGGCATTTCAGAAGCCCATACCAAGCTCAAAGAGTCTCTATCTCTCTCTCTCTCTCTCTCTCTCTCTCTCTCTCTCTCTCTCTCTCTCTCCCTCCCTCCCTCCCTCCCTCCATCCCTGCCTCCCTCCATTTCTGCCTAGCAATCGGGGTATAGCCCTCAGCTTCTGCTTGAGCACCCGCCTACCTGTTGGCATGCTCTCCAACATGACAGTAAAGGAATAAATCTCTGAAACTGTAAGCCAGCCCCCAGTTAAATGCTTCCATTGATAAGAGTTCTCTTGGTCATGATGTCTCTTCATAGCAATAGAGCATTGACTAAGGAAGAAGTTTAGTCCAGGGAGTAGGGTTTTGTGGTGACCATGCTACTTGTTAGCAGAAAGTGGACTATGGGGCTTTGGATTAGGAAAGTTGTTGAATGACTTCTGTGGGACTTAATGTATCATACAA